TGCCTCCCTATGTGTACTTGTGAGTTACATTAACATCATACATGATAACCTGATCAATGACAACTAAACTTTCAGTAATAAGGGTTATGATAAAAAGCAATGATTAAATACATTGCAAATGATCCATATTGAGTTAACAAACAAAACACCATAAAAGAGGCTTTATGGAATCAGTTCATTTCACAATTTCAATATACCTGCACATGAACCATGCACGAAATTGGACCTGATCATATTGGTCAATTCTTTTCCAATTTATAATGACTCTGGAATGAACATTACTCATGTAAAATTGCATGAAATGAAATTCAAAATTCAAAACAAAATACCCCAAATTCATAATATACGAGAAAGATTTGGATCACTTCCCTGAAGCAAACTAGTGGAACAGATTTAACTTGGTTCTAAGAAAAAGATATATAGCAGATTGGGATCAGCACGAGGGCATTGACTTGAAGCATATGAATTAACCTCCTTCTAGCGTCTCATATACAAAATGTACTCTAACGTATTTTCCCCATTATCTATTATGGCTGTTTCTCTGACAGTCTAAGACAAAATGTAAGGTGCAAAAAGGCTGCAAGTGCCGGAAATGAGACAATTGAAATATGGCAATAATCCAATAGTATATATTTTGGCAGGTTTATAGATTTTGTTGCTATTATGTGGTAGGCAGTGGAGGATTCATGGACTTTCTGTAAATCAGATTTGATATTACAGTGTATTACATAACTCACTTATGAGAGCAATGATTGAAAAATAAAATGGAAAACTTTCAATAAAGGAAAAAAAATTCAAACATATTACAAAGCCACACACATACACTAACAATTTACAGCACTTCTCATGCATTAACAAAAAAAATCAATACTGGTATCAAATATCTGATTATTGGTAATAAATTTTGCCAGAAAATCTGCACTAAGTTGTTTAAGAAGTTCATGAGGATGGTAAGAATTGTTAGAAATAAGTTCTACAACATATCCAAAAATATAAAAATACAAGTTCTATACCAGTTGCCAGACATATAAGATGCTGCAACTGCCAAAACGACATCTTGTAGCAACACAAAAACAATCAGCTAGCTTCAGTTTGCGAGTACTCATCTTCTGCAGGTGTCTGAGCAATAGATTTTGGAACTGTGACAGGTAAACAAGTTTGGCATGTGTCATAGAACTCTAATGTTCTAATTTAGTCTTTTACTAATTACTAATTTTTGACAGAGAAAGATCGGAACAAAAGTCATTCAAATTTGCCGTGTTATTTATACATTGGAACGAAAAGAAATCAGCTGCTGTCTCGTACGATCCTGCATTTTATCTCAAGATTTTCAGGTGAAAAATCTGTCCTGATTTAACACAGTACACTACAACATCCAAGAAAGGAATTTAACAAAGATTTATCGACCTCACGTACATGTACAGTTTTGTTAAACTGTATGTAAACTGAATTAACATTCAAGTTGATACATATCTAGATTATCAAAATTGTAAGCTGCTGCATATCTTTATATTTTTCTTTTCTCCTTCTTCTTCACTTTGAGTTGTTGATGAAAAAATTGCCGATCCCTATTTGTGGTATAGGATCAACACTTATTTGACTTTATTCATTATTCATTTATTTGTATCACCAGTCAAATTAAAAAGAGAGAGAGAGAGAGAGAGAGAGAGAGAGAGAGAGAGAGAGAGGAGAGATGGTAGAAGAAAAAAGAGAGAGAAGTAAGAGAAATAGTCAATAGAGAAAAGGAGACAGATTGGGAGAGAGAAATGGTGAAGAAGCGATAGAGAAGGAACAGATGGGTGGACAGAAATAAAAGAAAGAATAAAGAGAAGATATAGAGGAAAGAGAGACTAAAATGTAGATAACGGAAAAAAGTAAGAAATCAAACAAACTGGTGGATTCAGGGAATCCAACCTACGTGTACTGTTGCAATAAATAAATGAATAGCAATTCGATAATAAAAGTACTATTTAAGCTTTCTGGGTAATAACTTAATACATGCAAATCCAAACCCAATGCATTATTAACATCAACATAACCATTAAACATAGATACCAAATGAAATCGTTTTCAACAAAAGAAAATTCACTGAGAGTTTTGGCCCTTTTTGTCAAAAGTGTATTCGCCAAATGAAGATTGAAAAACAGGGTAAACCAAGAGAAATATACAGGTAGTGACCATTAAAAAATCAAATCATCAATCGGTTTCTGCTTCAAATTGTTTTTTTCCAGGATGTTCACTTGAGCATTTCAACAACGAATTAAATTGCATAACTGAACCACTTTTACCTTCACTTGAAAATGTTAAGGAGCACCTTAGAGCATCATATAATATCTTTCCAATAACTTTATCAATTTATATATATGTAATTGAGATTGATGTGCGAGGGCAGTCTTAAAGTTAATCACAAATCGACAACAAAAATTGGCAAACTGGCAGCATTCATGCATTTTTCATTAAAAAAATGAAGTTAAGAGGTAATGCTTTATCTACATGACGAGCAGGGTTTTCCAATAATGCAGGCGTATCATTTCCTTTCGCCACAGCAGGCAAATTGTTACCCAAGGGCGAGATGGGTGTTTGGCAATGGCATTTACATTAGCTATGTTGACACGGTAGCGTCGTAGTTATAAACTTTAAGTTTGCGAAACCTCAAGAGTTATAAACAATGATCCGCTAACCTTGAGAATCTGTTGTTGTTTGAAGCTTCAAAGATAACTTAAAGCCCCACTGCACTACTTATAGCTACTTGCTCCCTCTATATAGCAAACAATGCCTAATCGGTGACCATTGGTCCCCCATGATCCTCTTTTTCTTATGTTAATCGAGAGCTGAGTTGATGAGATAGCCACCTGTCAGTGACCTTCCTGGGTGGTCTACTCCCTCATAGCCAAACTAGTACAGATGGGCTTTAAAGATTCATAGCCAGGAGAGTGTTCTCACGGTCCCTATCTTCACAGTTACTTCAAAGTTTATAACCACAACCTTAACCTAAAGGGATAGTCGTGTGAACCCGTCTATCAAAAGGGGCATTGCCCCTTAGGCTTTCAGCAGACATCTGTTCAGGGCCAGAAGGGTCTTAACTCTAAAGTATATGAAGCAACTTCCTTCTGGCTCCACACAATATTATTATGATGAAAGGAAAAAAAAAGATTATTTATGCGTGCCTAAAACATGTTGCTCTTTTTTTTCCTGAAAATCAACAGAAGGATAAGTAGTATGCCATCTAGAGAAAGAATTGAGGAAATTTCGCCAGACCCAAACACTTGACTCTCTGAGAAGTGGTGTTCTCCTACAAGATATTATCAGATTAACAGAAGCGTAACTACCCATCTAGAGGAAGAATAAAGGAAATGTCGCTAGGCCCAAACACTTGACTCTCTTAGAAGTGGTGTTCTCATACAAGATATTATCAGATTAACAGAAGCCTAACTACCCATCTAAAGAAAGAATAAAGGAAATTTTACAAGGCCCAAACACTTGACTCTCTTAGAAGTGGTGTTCTCATACAAGATATTATCAGATTAACAGAAGCGTAACAACCCATTAAGAGGAAGAATAAAGGAAATGCTGCAAGACCCAAACACTTGACTCTCTGAGAAGTGGTGTTCTTCTACAAGATATTATCAGATTAACAGAAGCGTAACTACCCATCTAGAGGAAGAATAAAGGAAACGTCACAAGACCCAAACACTTGACTCTCTGAGAAGTGGTGTTCTCATACAAGATATTATCAAATTAACAGAAGCATAACAACCCATTAAGAGGAAGAATAAAGGAAACGTCACACAAGACCCAAGCACTTAATTCCCTAAAAATTGTGTTTTCCAACAAAATATTATAAGAACGCACATTATTTGTGTGGGTGGTTAAGCCCTCTCTCAAGAAACTTAGATGAATTATGTAATTATTCTTCACTCATTTCATACAACTTTTACCAAACAAAGTCATATGATGATCATCGCTCTATGTGTTCAATCTGCCCTCCTTTGCTAGCTAAGCTTTTAATAAAAAATGACATACACTACAAGGCAATGGTATATTTATCTTCTTAAGCTTTATACCAAAATACACACTAATTCTTGCTATATATCTAGTAAAAGCTTTAAGAGATGATTGCATAGAAAAGGTTTAAAAAGAGCATTTGAAACGTGAAAGGAACACATTTTCTTTCTTAATCAAGACACCACTATATTCATGCCAGGAATATGTGATATATTCGATTCACATATTTCGATGTCCAAAATGAAATGCCAGTTCTTATGTCTTGATGTACCGTCTGCTTAGCACTAGCAGGGCATTATCTCAATCAAAATCAGATACGCCCTTCTGAATCTCAGCAGACAACACCATACTTATGTCTATGTTAACATCCATGTCCAAGGTTAGATAAGATTCAAATCTGAAGACAAGAAGAAAAATTCTCATAAGTCAATTTGCACCTGCATGGTTATAAAAAAAGAAAACATGCTTTTATAGATATTGTTTTCGCCAAGACTGTACCACCATTTGCGATTCTAGGACAATACAGCTATTCATAATGCAAATCAAAGCATCTTTGACGTTTCTATCTCACAGATGCCTGAAGCCTTAAAGATTAAGCTTTCAAGTTTTGGATATATTTTGACATTCGGGATAATTGGAAGATCTACTGCATGAATGTTGATTCAAAAACTTGATTAGAGAACTATTAGAGATCTCAAAGTATGATGATATAACTTAATATTTTTCATATTCTTGTCATACCCTCAATCTTTTTCATTTTGCAAAGAATTAAGTAGGATTTTCACTGGCTTATTCACCACATTCTTTTCATGTCTTCAAAAAATGATCATATCACATATTCCACGGCATGAGGCTCCACAACATGCTAGTTTTGTGCACCTGTTTTTTCTCACCTTTGCTGTCAAGTATTCAATTTGATGATCAAAATCTCTTATCAAATTTCATTCAGCTCATCATAAATTCTATGATTTTTCTTTAATACCATCACATCTTTAGGGGGGGGGGGCAGTTGAATTGCATCTTCATAATACCATTTCAATTTTATACAACTATTATCTCACATGCAATACATTTTTGACCGTTGATCCTTTTCCTCAGCACGACAGATTATTGGCAGGTGATTATCTTGAGTTTTAATTATTAGCCATGTCCAATTGAAGAGTTCCATTGTCAAGCTACCGTTGCACGATGCCACGTATGACGTACACATTTGCATGCAAGTCCTTAATTATTCTCTCCAGCTCACTGCTGGAAGCGGAAGACCAACGGACTCTCAGCAACGTCGTGTTCGACTCAAGAGAGTTCAGAATTTCCCGGAACGAGAAGCGCGCCTTGACCATGACGGAGTCCACATGCCTGGTGCACTGCTTGAAGAAGTTGTCCAACTCTGAGCACAGTTCGCTGCTGTATTTGCTGTATTCGCCGTTCTGGACCAGCATGTTGGTCTGAGCGTAGAGCATCTCGGCCATCTGTAAGACCTCTGCTTTCCCACCCTGCCCTACAGAAGAGTCATTCTTGATGGGCGAAATGCCACGCTTCCTGACCGATCCGCGCTTATCAGCCCGTAGCTTGACACTGGGGTTCACATTGTGTGATGACTTGGGGATAGTAATTTCAGGTTTGGGGCTGGTAATGACTGGCTTTGGTCCTTTGATAACAGGCTTTGCCCCCATGATTTGTGGTTTACTGTTCACAAAAGATCTGGATGGTGAACCCCTCGGGCTAGGGGTGGTTGGGGATTCAACAGGACTGACTAACCTAGCAGGTGGCGCAGGGGGAGGAACCGACGGTCTCACAATGTCTTTTCGCTTGTCTCGACTACGACCCGTTGGAGATGTTGGCAATTCTTTGAAACTGTCATTGTCTGGCGATTCCACTAGGTCTCCGTGCTCTGGGTTATAGAAAGGTAGTGATTTAGTTTTCCCAAGAGGCTCTTTGGAATTGTCATGTCCACCATTTTCCGGCCAGTGGGTCGGTTTACTAGGTTTTGCAGGAAGAGGTTTCAAAGCAGGCTTTCCCACCACATGTCCATTGTCCTCTCTAACCACAGGATTCTTGTTTGTACGATCTAACATCGGACTTGTGGGCGATCCGGGGATAGGGAATGATTCACTAGCATCTATAATATCCTCTGGACTAGGTTTCTTCTCCTTGGCTATTCTTGATGGCTTTGACTTCTTCCCATCCCCTCCCCCACTTCCAGGAGGTCTCAGGGCCGTTCTATGTCCAAAGCCAGGGTTCACACTATCATGCCCTTCTGAGCCACCATCACCATTACGTGATGTCCCAGGCGGTACACGGTTAAATTCAGGTCCTAAGATATCACCAAGCATTTTGGGAACTCCGTTCTCTTTCTGATAGCTTGGGGAGTTCTTGTGGTCCATGTGGTGCTTCAGGTCATCGTCCGCTGGAAAACTGTTCCGTTTCTCCGGCTCCTTCTTCTTAGGGGCATCTTTCTTGCGAAGGTTCTTTATTAAAAAAGGTGGCTTTTTTCTTGAAACTTCCGGTGATGCGGGAGGTGTGGAGGTTTTTACTGTCAAGAAAGAAAGAGAAAAAGAATTAATAGTACAACTAGGTTTTTTGCCATTGGATATGATTTACTTTCATATCATATATCTTGGGCTTTAGTATCCTCAGGTTAAAGATCAAAACATGTACATCTTTCAAAATAAAGTAAAACAAATGTTATGGTACTCTAGTGATCAACATATACGTGGAATCAATACCTTGGAACATGCATATCACAATGCAATGTCCGTTAACCCTGTTTATATTAATATTCAATATGATAAAAGCTTTCAAAACTTTAAACAGAAAAAATAATCAGATCAATGCAAAAGAGAACTTGCCTCTCGTTTACATACTTCTACAGCAATTTAGAAGTGTCTTATTGTTTCCCCCCTATTATTTCCCTTTACCTTCATTAAAAGTAAGCTATGTGAATTTCTTACTTATATCTTTTACTATATAATTATACATTTACCTACCTACCTACCTACCAACCTACCTACCTACCAACCTACCTACCTATTTATTTATTCATATAAGTTACTTGTTCATGTATTATAAGTGTTTAGGGTTTTCCAATTTCCATTCTATTTCTTCTAACAATGTACAAATTATTTAAACATACCGGTATTTGAGGCTTACACCCAGTAAATCTGATCGATTGATGACTTGTTTTTCAATAACAGATTGTACGATCGATCTTACTGTATGTACTGGGTGTAAGCCACAAATAAGTTTAAATAATTGAAATTTCTCCCAGGAAGCATTACATTTATAAAATATACAAATTATAATTATGATTCTTAATAGTATATCAATCCTAACTCCTCAGTAGACATGAGAGGGCATATTGTCATGACGAAAACTCGTCGTTTAAAATTGAAACCCCCATTTGACTTTCACCACTACTACTTGTACTAGAGCTGAGATTGTGATAAGCCCTAAGTAAACACTAGTGCTGTAATCCACCCCCACCGAGACCTTGATGAGGTGATAATCAGCGTGTCCACACACAAAACAATGTATCCCGAAACTCTATAACGAAACGTCGTATAAAGAATCATAGTATAAATTTCAAAGTGTCCACACACAAGAAACGTCATATAAATAATCATCATATAAATTCAAGGATGTCCATAAACAGAAGAAAGTAATCCTGAAACTCTACAGTCTGGTCTCCTTCCGCTCGAGATTTTCCGTGATTAGGAGTGATTCTTTATTGAGTTTCAGTTCGAAACGATGCCCAAACCTGCGTTTCGTTAGACTAGTTTCGTTATACGACGTATCGTTAGTGAGCGTCCACACACACAATTTCATCGTAAAACTATCGCGAAACGGTATCACTATCGCGAAACGGTATAGCTAATCACGGAAAATGTTGTGTGTGGACAGGGGGAGAGAGAGAGATAAGCATGATAGAGAGGGAAAGGAAGGAAGAAGGGAGAAAGAGACACATGCAGGGGTTCACTGCCAGAGTTAAAATTGTTGTTATATCGCCAATTATGGGTCATTTTGCTTCGTTCAAACTTTCATTTTGGTCTTCATCTAAATTATTAGTGACTTTAGGACATGAAAATATCTTAAAACAAGTAAAATACTTATTTCCTGCTTCTCATTTCCTTTCAGGCAGAGCCCCAGTAAGATACCTAAGATGATGAAGAGTCCAGCTGCAATCAAATATCTTAATCTCTCACTCAGAGCCTCAAGGCTCTGTCCAAGATTTTAACGAGAGAAACGAATATGGGGTTCTGGCACCCCATCAATTTACATTGACTTCTGTGTTAAAGGCCCACTGCACTACTTGTAGCTACTTGCGCCCTCTATATAACAAACAATGCCTAATCGGTGACCATTGGTCCCCCATGATCCTCTTTTTCTTATGTTAACTGAGAGCCGAGTTGATGAGATAACCACCTGTCCAGTGACCTTGCAGGGCAGTCTAATCCCCCCTGTAAACTACGGCAGATAAGCTTTAAAGTAGAAGCTCTCTCAAAGTTTAAACGAGAGAAACGAATATGGGGTCCTAGCACCCATCAGGTTACATTGACTCCTGTATTAAAGTGCGGGGTATAGTTTTAACGAGAGCATTTCGTAATGAGTCACCTGCATCCACAATAGGGTGAGTTTCCTTGCTCCTTGGAGGAGGCTCCACATCGTTGGTCGGCTGCCCTCTCCTGACGCTCTTCTTCTTGGCCGGCAGGGTAGGAGGATCCTTCCCTCTTCTGTGGAGGGATTTCTCCACCTCCTCGCTGATACTGCTGTTCTGGAACATGTTGTTCATCTCTTCATGGATCTCCTACAAAGTCAGAGGAACATGAGGGTTAAATGATAGGTATTGGACACAAAGAGATGGCTGAACAAATGCCCAGATAATATCAAGCACAGTTGTAGAAGAAATATTAAATAAAACAGGGCTGCCAACCTTGTGCGACCAAAAAAGGAACCATGATGCAAAAAAAATATTAAAACGAAACTTACAACCACACACGCACGACATGTCCATTCCTCCTGCTGTTATTTCCATATTAGGACCTATAGTATATTTACAAGTAGGTATTTATTTGTCATTATTTGGGTATTATTGACGTTTCATCCTTTTTGAGAATATGTTTCTCTTCAAGTATGTTTTAACATTAGTTTTCTATTGAATTTGTGATAAATCAAGAATGTAAAAAAAATAAAATTATAACAATTATTAAAAAATGTATTTTATGAAGAAAAAACGTACGACCATAATTCAAAGGAAAATACTGAATAATTCTGGGAAAAACGTAGTGGTTGGCAGCTCTGATAAAAGCATCCAAACTTACAGTGAATGAGGGCCTGTCGGTATGTCTCCACTCCCAGCACTTGTGCATGAGCTTGTAGACATCCGTAGGACAGCCTTCGGGTCTCTCCATCCTGTAGCCCTGCTCCAGCTTGCCATAGACGTGCTGGAGGTCCACACCAGGGTAGGGGGAGCACCCGTAGGTCGCGATTTCCCACAGGAGGATCCCAAACGCTGTGGAGTAAAGAAATATTTGGTGACATACTTAAATAATAATAATAATAATAATTCCGCTTCTATATAGCGTTTAATACATCTATGATGTACTAGAGGTTGCTTGTATAGGGTTGCTCTTATAAGCAGTTAAAAAAAGTGATTTGAGTGTGTGTGTGTGTGTGTGTTTTAGGTTTTTACAGACGTGTATCAATCAGATATGATTATGATCTGGGGACCAACCTTTAACGTCACCATCCAAAAGACGTGACTTAGTTCTGAATTTGCGTCCTCGGCTGATCAGTTTGTAACTTCAATTGTTGGCTAGATTACAGGCGCACGCCACAATGCCCCGTTTTGCTTGTGTAGGGTTGCTTTTATAAGCATTAAACAAAATAGAGGCAACTTGATATCTGAACACATCAGGGCCCTGTCATATTAACTCATAGCCTGCCATAAGGATGCATGCACGCTATTGTTAAAGTGCCATGTACACCTCGACAAGCTACTGCTCCTCTGCTTCTTGCATGATTGCACGCTAATGTAATAGCAGTTATTGTTCATGCCCATTGGACTGTGCCAAGTGTTTTGCACGCACTATTGATAGTACCATCGCGTTAATCCGATTATCTCGTTATAAACTTGGCACTGCAGGGATTTGGGGCCTGGCACAATGGAGATTAACCCGGTGGCAGGATATTAAGAGTTAAAACTTGCAATTGATTTGAATCAATCGCAATTCTTCACAAGACGGGGTCCATGATTGAAAATTTAAGAATGGCTGAAGTTGAACTTTATTTGCTATAAGTTTGGGTGCATGAGATAGCATCCTGATAATGTACCCCAAATTCATGCATACATTTAATGTAATTCTACAGTGAAAGATTGCTCTCAATGTCCAGATGGCTTCTTCAATCATGCATGAAATGCATACAAAAATAGCATTGTATCACACAACACATCTCTGTGTTCCATTGTGAAAAAGGGCATATTTCTCCCTTTTTTTCTATAAAAATAAAACTCCCAGAGATGACCATTAATGTTATTTATCAGATCAAAACAAATTAAAGTCCTTATCTATATATATCTTTTATGGTTAGCAAGCTGGAATGTTTTGTTGAGTGTCCAGTAAGTCATTGTCAAATCACCCATGTCGAGTTTGGCTTCTGATTCAAATTCTTTATGAGAATTAAACATAAAAACTTAGCTTAGCTTATCTTGGTCCCAAAACATTTTGCAACAATATAGTTCTACACACCCCCAAGAAAGATTACCGAGTCAGAGTCCTTTTCAGGACTCCTCAACCCTCTCTCTCTCTCTCTCTCACACACATGGTGTACCGCAAGCCTACTGTATAAATATAGTTCTTGGCCACCATTTGACAATTCGCTGACCAAAGGAAGACGTTAAAAAAAAAAAAGGTGAAGACAGGAATTCTCGAAGGACCTACCCCATACGTCAGACTTGCTGGAGAACTTGTAGTAGGCCAGACTCTCTGGAGCGGTCCACTTGATGGGGAACTTAGCCCCAGCCTGAGCTGTGTAGATCTCACCCTGGACCATCCGGGCTAGACCAAAGTCTGCAACCTTTAGTAGGTGGTGCTCACCTAGTAGGCAGTTTCTTGCTGCTAAATCTCTGTTTATTAGAGAGAAGGATACATCAATACGGGGATGCCAGTTAGAATTGATAAGAGGGCCTAAAAATCACCTAGAATGAGCTATTTTGTACACAAAAAATCCTAAACTATGGTCTGAAAATAACTTGCCAGGGCCTGAATACAGGCTATTGCATGAAACTGGCATCACGATAAATAGTATTTAGTCTTTCTTGTAGCATGTGTTACTTATCCTCTTCATTGAGTCTGCAATGCATAGATAACACACATCGGTGAGGGTGTAACTAAGAATTGTCAATACTACACAACACACACTCAAAAAAGAAAGATTATCGAGAGTCCTTTTCACGACTTCCCAATCCTCCCTCTCTCTCACATGGTGCAACCGCAAGCCTACTGTATAAGAATTGTCTATACTTATAAATGGTTTATGAGAATTAAACAGACCCTCCTGTGCCATCAACTTATGATCAATTATCATACACCGACTTTGAAGATACATTTGAGTTTATAAGATGTACATATACCGTTGAAAGGGTCTAACAACCGTAGCAACAGCTGAGTTGTTCAGACCGTTTCAAAGGTACCGAGAGTGTTACACAATTTAATTTTCTCAGTACCGATAGGCTACAGACCCTTTTCACGTCTTATCAAGAAAAAACGTTTTAAGAGCCTGTATCTTTCCTGGGGTAAAGGCGGAAATGTGTCAAGACACCTTCCAAAATGTTATCCCTAGGGAAAAATATACACTGGGGCTCAGAGAAATTTTCCCCACAAAAATAGTGCCCCCCCCCCCCCAAAAAAAAAAAAAAAAAAATTGCATAGAGTTCAATGCAAAACAACTTAAAGAGTGTTATTTTCATGCAAGCAAGCTTGAAAAGTAGCCCCCAAGTTTTTCAAATATTTTTTCCCTGGTTATCCCTAGTTGCCCCATCAAGAGGTCATAATTGTTTCAATGAACCTTTAGTAATAGCAAAATAAAATTATCCAAACGGTTACTCACCTATGAATAAAACTATTTTTCTCTAAGTAGCTCATGCCAAACGCAACTTGCGTCGCCATGTAGAGCAACGTGACAGCCGGCAGTGATGTCTCGTCGTTGTCTCTCAGGTATTCCAACAGGTTGCCATACGGCATGAATTCTGTTACGATGTAAAAGGGAGGCTCTCTTGTGCATACACCTGGTGGTTAAAAAAACACAGATTGATATGGTATAAGTGATTGAGAAGATGATTATGGGCCATACGAGGCTACATATTCAGTGTGATCTTAAAAACTCTCAAGAAATCAACGTAATAGTAATTTTCAATAGCCTATCATTAACCTATTAATTTTGTGAACATTAAAATGACATATTACATAATTGCAATATGATTTCTATAGGCGAAACAAACCAGTATTGAAATAACCCTTCAGTTGATTTCTTGAAAGTCTTAGTGATCGTGATCTTTACACATGTACTCAATGTTCAGAGAAGCATTGATGATGAATAAGTGCAAGGACTGTGGTTTGAAACAGCTATTTCCTCTCGGAGACATATGGTGACACTGTATGGCAGGCTGTTGGCAAAGGGCCTACTGAGGGCATGATACATTAACCAACTCTCTTCTGAACTTACTGTTACAGTCAAGGACATGTCACTACTCTACAAATGTTATAATAATTGTTATAATAATATTTGGTTCTTGTTTAGCGCATATCATATTTTAACATCTCTATTACCCCGGATTCAGCATGGCTGCCATTACGGCGCTCTAGCATTTCAAGGTATTAATTTCTGCCATAATTATTATTAATATCATCATTATCATTATTATTATCTTCAATTTAAATCACATAAATTAAACAATCTTCAAATTTTCAGTGACTAACTTTGAATAATGCGAAGAGCTTTTAATTGACCATAGTTTAGGTAAACTAAGAGACTTCCTATTTGTGTGTTCCATCCATGGTGCAAAATTTCGTTTTGAAGGATCAACGAGATTCTGCTGTTTAAAAGGACGTATTGACAAATATATCATCCTTGACAATACCTACGTCAGGGAGAATTTGCCTTTGGTACTGTTCTTTTTAAAGCCCCATTTGCACCAAGCGTGTTCATGTAGAAGCCCATATTCTCATGTATAGATATTTTCATGATGTTTTTTGTATTTGTCATTTTTGTGATTTATGTGCAATTACAACACATTTTGTGCATGTTGTCCGCTTCAAGACCTTCAGACAATTTGCATTACTAGTGGTAAATAAAACCCTCACAAGAATAACTGCATATATACAATATGCACTAATGAGAATCTTGTTAGTAGCTGCACTTCTTTGTACTTTATAATGGTGTCGTGGTTGAGTCACCAGACTGTTGATCACAAGGTCCGGGGTTCGAGTCCCGCCACCGCACGAATGTCCTTTGGCAAGACATTGATTTACATTTGCCACACTCAACACAGGTGATGTAAATGGGTACCTGGCAGGAATTAATTCTTTGAAAATGCTAGAGCGCCGTAATGGCCGCCTTGCTAAAGCCAGGGTAGTAGTCGGGGCAGCGCCAGGAGTGTCACAACGTGAGGGACACGTGCGCTATATAAGAAGCCACCATTATTATTATTATTATAATTCCAGTCCTGCTGCTTGATCTTACCTAATAGCTGAACAAGGTTTGGATGCTTGACGTTCTTCATCACCGCTGCTTCTCTTAGGAACTCATCCACTCTCATGTTCTCTTCCTGTTCCACCAAATACAAAGGGAAAGACAAGAAAATAAGATCACTTGGCATGAAGTTAGATAATTTAGTAGGAAAAAAAAAGAAGAAATTCATCATGCTCCTCAACAGCCCAAGAATCAATCTATATTGTGACAATATATTATTTTTGACAATGCTGGATACTGATACTGATTTTTTTCTAAAGATGACATCTTGCTGTTAAAAATGCTAATAATAACATGAGGAAGAATGTAGACAGCCAACCAGAGAGTCAGAATAGGAATAGAGAGATATACCCAAGAATTTTCGACTAAATTACTGAGTATAAGAGAAATGAAGAAAGAAAGACTAAGGAACATAGATATTTTTTAAAACTTACAATGGCACATGAATACAATATAATGGTGATAGGTGGCCTTCAGGCATAAATTGACAATATTGAACTGACCCTGAGTGTCTTGACAGCAACAATCTTGTTATGTTTCTTCCAGATGGCTTCATACACCTCCCCATACTGGCCCCCTCCCAGCTTATTCTTCATGGAGATGTCCGTCCTCTCGATCTCCCACTCGTCCGGCAGTGGGGACACGCCATAGATGATGGGTTTCTGCATCTTGGCTGCAGGGTAGCGCAGCGTCGTGATGAGGCCGTCCGATTGCTTGCAGTGGTGATGCACCAGCTCGGCGATGGTACTGAATTTGCTCTCCGTCGTGACAAATACCTGGTCAGAATGAAAAGAGCAATCATACATGAAAATAGCCATCGTAGAATTACGGTCAAACCTGTATATAAGTGTAACCTACTATAGCGACTACATGCATAGGACCACCTGTCAATAAAGATCTTTTTCTGTTTCTCTTTGATATTGAAACATATTCTGAACTGACCTGTACATAAAGAAAACCTGCTTTTCTTGTCTCAGTTGGGTGGTCTTTAAGTACAGATTTTACAGTACAAAAACCACTCAAAGGTGACCAAAAAATGGTCTTTGTAGGAAGGTGATCATAATATTCAGTTTCCTTTATAAGAAGATATGATCAAGGGAAATCAAAAACTTGCATTTTTTGTATAAAACAGGTGGTATCGTTACATAGTTGCTGAAGCAGGTCCCAATGTATTCATAAAAACATTTGTCGATGCTCATGTGGGTGACATTTCTTCAGATTTGATTGCCAAATTGTGGCCTTTTGGTGTAGGAAAATATAAAAGAAAATTTAGGGCATCACAGGAAATCACATAATCTCTTTCATCCTCTCCTATCAAATATTACACAAAATATTTGGAAACAAAGGCTGAAATGTTTTAACTAATGTCCTGACAGCATGGGTGGCCAAATGGCTAATTGATAATTCACATATAAGTTATAACGGCACAGATTGGCACCATTATCAGTGAAATTTGATAAAATTACTCATATATGATGTATGCCTCACCAAAAAAAAAAAAATTAAGTTTCACATGGTGTACACATTTATAAAACTGACTGATATTTGATTGATTTCAATCAATTTATGAATGTTCATACTATTACAGTGACTCAGGTTAAAAACGTAATAAGTACATGTAATTGTTATTTAGATAAATGTCAATCCTTTCTATCATTAGTTATCCTTTCAATTTGTACTTCAATTTAATTCTCCAGAAAAGCATCTACCATGGTTTTTTTTTAAAAGTAGGCACACTGTAAAATTGACACCAGATTATATTTGTGTTTTGTAGACAATATCTTTAAATGTGATACAAACACACAAACAGGACATCAAGGGCCACAATTTAATTCAATGCTTAGTAGAAAATCACTTCTTTCTGACTCTATCTGTAATCACTTTATAAGCAGTCCGACGAAAAGGCCTCCACAAAAAAATCATTTCACTAATCCTCATTACAAGATTAACTGCAGGTAACTGAGTTCAGACTCAATCCAATAGGATTAAGTTTAAATTCACTGTCCAAACCACAAGGTCAGTGACCTCTTTATCGCTAAGTGCCCTTCCAGAATCTTGTTTTCTTCAATTTGACCTTACCGTATATAGTCACTTCAATGAGATTCATCTGATCAATCTATTAATCTGTTTTCAAATAAAATTGTCTTTTTTATTTACTGCTGGTGTGCTCTCCTACACTGTAGCAGTGTTACAGTATTTGTTGTTTGTTTAAAATCTAAAAATTGAGTCACAAATATCCCGATATGGGTAATTTCATTTCAATAAAAATATTCAAAATGATTATATCATGTGGTATACTCAATTATACATACTTAATTATGTGTTTTGTTTACGGCCTAAACATGTTGTTTATGAGTATCATACATATAGAGGCTAATGTAGGGTAAGCTTAAAAGTCAGAGGCCTCACCTATTCCTGTATCTTGAAATAGCTCACATAGCTAGTTTTCTGAATGTTCTTTTCATGCTGTTTTCTGGCATTCAGTCATTTAAAAAATGGATGAGACTGGCTAATTTGTTGCTATTATATAGCTATTTATAGCAGCAATTTCATGCTGTAACTATTTTCTTAATATAAATATGAATAAGAGAGAAAAAAAAGCATAGTCCCGCGAAAATTTACTTCACATTGATGCTCATTGTTAATTCAAACAGGTACAGTGTAAGCACAAACCTTTCCATCCGAACCACTGCTGATTCTATAGTGGTACACCCGACCATCGAAGCGGAGGGATATCGACCTGTGACCGGGACTACTTTCACTGTCTCGGACCAGGAAGCTGCCGTCGATGCCGCTACTGAGGAGATACTCTGCCGCGTTGCGAGAGATAGGACCATGGTACCAGGAGTGCTTCTCCAGGCTGTTGAAGGGGGTGACGTACGTCACGGGCACCCAACCCGTCTTACCGTTCTTGAGCTTCTTCGCCTCGCACCACTCTCCGCCCTTGTTGTAGCCAAGGATCCGGACATGGTCACCTGCAAAGACAGTCATTTATACATCAAAAAATGTTATAGTCCAAAATTAATCATTCGGATGGTAGAGAGTAGTGGATATCATGTGAATTCTCTATAAAAAAGTGTCCATATTCAGTGAGGCCCCCCCCCCCCCATCCCATCAAAAATGAAAGAAATCCATCAGATTTCTTTGATTTCAATAATACGCCACAAGTACATGAAAGAGAGGGGGAGAGGGGGGGGGGGGGGGGGGAGAGGGGTGGAGAGAGAGAAAGAGAGAGGGGGAGAGAAAGAGAGAGAGGGAGAGGGGGAGAGGGAGAGGGGAGAGAGGGAGAGAGGAGGGTGCATGTGGGAGACAATTAATACAAAGATAGAAAAATGTAGTCAATTACAAATCAGAATCAACAAATACATAGAGTTCATGAACTCATTGTGAATGAAGTTTCAGCTGTACAACACAGTCAAAACCTGTTTTCAAGTTTGAATGCCTTAAAAATGATGAACCAGTATTGAGATAAGGTACATAAATGTTATTGAAAATGCAAAAAAAGATTCTAAAAGAGGAGATAAATGTAGCAGCGAAGAGCATCACCTGATAGTGATCTGATTGACAGGTTTTATACAGCACCAAACCAAAATTGCTCAAACCACAAAATCAAATCACACATATAATGAACGATCAATGGAAATGTGTTTTGTCCCTAGGGAATAGGCAGTTATTGTGCAAATGCCAAAATGAGATTTACCTTACAAAGTGTAACCGATTATTGATCGTACCTGTTTACATTTGAAATTAACCAATATTTGCTCACAAACACGTTTTCGCTCGAGGCTAAGGTGTCCTGACAGAAACTTGTTTCACCATAGATATAGGCCTACATGTATCACTGGGTCGCAGGCAAAGTTATTAGAATCATTTTTCTGCAGGCAAAGCAATTTATTGTATCCTGCTTAGCTGAGGATATTATTCCATATACATTAACCAAATACAGATTAGTTACATCCGTAGGCATGTATACATTAAATCTATCACAGTGTGTGTTTCTCTGAACCCCAAATTCAATATTATTCAGAATTCAACCCATCGTTAATTTTCCAGCTGAGAACCAGAGTCTACTTCAAATATTCATTTCTGCATACAATGGTTGTTTCGTTACAGCTGCCAGCAAAAAATAGCTTGAACTTCATTTTATAAATACACACAGACCTAAACTTGAATTCACGCCAGCTATTAGTAAAGCATGGATGCTTGTTATGGGTAAATACTATCAGGAATGTGTCATATATGCTTTGGAACAATTTAGTATCACCTTAAATTAATGGTGTGCAACATATCGATTCAAATTCTGGCAATGCACTATCGGACCTTTTGAATCATTCTCTTCCTTCCCCTTTAGAACTATTTGAAAATTAAGCTCATTTAATCTCATTAATCAATGAACCAAATAATGGGAAAGATCATTAAAATATCATCAATTGAGTGTGGTTATGACTTGCATAAATCAGCTTGAGCAAAACAAAGTATTGAGTGATCACGCTATGCGAACTCACAAGCAGGCATGTGTATTAAACACGTAATCCCATGAAGAAATTAATGGTGTACAAACATATCATGTAAAATGTTTCCAATCTATTTTAGAACGGTGAGGTCAAATTAAAAAAAGCTGCGGTCAATCGTTTACAGACACATCATTCTTTGTACCCTTTCCCTGATTTCAAATAAAAAGTTCACCGATGGCATCCAATGCAGAGGTTAAAGAGTTGTTTGACAAGGTGTTGGGAATAATATCTTCACACAGTTACCAGTATGTGTTACCGGTATACGCGAACGCTTGTGAGTAGGCAGAGTGACCTTGTTTACTGCGTAAAAGCCTCACAGAGACGCAGAAACGTGATCACTCAATACTGTGCTTTGCTTGTAGGTTACATTTAGCAGCACATTTTTTTTAATGTAAGATCTATCATTTCATCTCCTCTTTAGGTTCATGGTATTTAATCATGTACAGTCTCTAGAGGTCTCTAGGGTTAGATTTCTCTTACTGAATTGAATCCTGTTATCATTTGATAATCATTTAGATACCAGATTAGTACTGGGCAAAAGCAATGCTAGACTCCCTCGAATTGAATGGGGGAATAACTCTAGGAAGTTTGATAACATTTTCTGTCTAGGTCTTGCTCCCCCACCCCAGGAGTTCCTAAGAATATAAAGTTTTGTTACGGTAACACAGTTATACACCTAGGCCACTGAAATTGATCTGGGAACACCAAGACAACCATATCCCTCCAGACTCTCACCCCTCCCCATCCCCTCCCAGCAATGCCCCAACTATCATCCTTACCCTTTCTGACAGTGAGCTGGTTCTCGACACCGCCGTTGAAGTCGTAGAGGACCACAAAGAGGTCAGGATCGTGCTCGTCACCACCGCAGACATCTTCAGTTGAGTTCCATCCAGCGATATCTGGTGATGTAGCATGGGTTGGGGTACTGGGTAGAGGACGTGACTGGATCGTGTCAGAAGGGAAGTTATCTGTAGAGATGGGAGAAATGAAAAAGGAAGATGTTTTAGTCAGTTGCATCAGTATTTGGACGAATATAGGAGAAAGATGATCAAATACAAGTTTGATTCTTTTTATTTTATATATAAGCCACAATATCAAGTTAAAACTAGATGGAATTCGACTGCGCGCAGTCGAAAATGATGCCTCCGTTATAGAGCAATTTTACAAACCAAAACAGAAAAAAAAAATTGAATTCACGTTCAATGGTAATCCATTGACAGGTTCTCAGAATATTGTGATTACAAGCAATTTCTCATATACATATATGACCCTTTGATCTTTGACCTCATGACCATAAAATCTACTCAGTTCATTGGCTCTGCAAGATGTTCTGAGTTAAATAGTAATCCATCTGTCAGTTCTAATGAGAATGCGTTCACAAGCTATTTTTGCATACATAATGGGCCCATGACCTTTGACCTTTGACCTTATGAACCAAGGATCTACTCAGTTCATTGGCTCTGCAAGTAACAAACATGACCTAATTTTGGCATGAATCCATCAATCGGTTCTTGAGATAACGCGATCACAAGCTGTTTTTGCATTCATAATGTGCGCTGTGGCCTTTGACCTTTGACCTACGTGCTCCGAAATCTAATCAGGTTGTCTTCCTATGGTGATACACACTATCATTAAGTTTGAAGTTTAAATCTCCAGTGGTTCTTGAGATATCATGATAACAATCTCAATGTATGGAATTTCATAAGTTGACCTCTGTGACCCTTGACCTTTGACCTACGTGCTCCAAAATCTAATCAGATCGTCTTCCTACGGTGATACATACTATCCTTAAGTTTGAAGTTTTTACATCTCCAGTGGTTCTTGAGATATCATGATAACAATCTCAATGTATGGAATTTCATAAGTTGACCTCTATGACCCTTGACCTTTGACCTACGTGCTCCAAAATGTAATCAGATTGTTTTTCTATAGTGATACACACTAGCACTAAGTTTGAAGTTTAAATCTCCAGTGGTTCTTGAGATATCATGATAACAATCTCAATGTATGGAATTTCATAAGTTGACCTCTGTGACCCTTGACCTTTGACATACGTGCTCCAAAATCTAATCAGATCGTCTTCCTATGGTGATACATACTATCCTTAAGTTTGAAGTTTAAATCTCAAATGGTTCTTGAGATATCGCGCTAACAAACTCAATACAAGGAATTTCATAAGTTGACCTCTGTGACCTGTGACCTTTGACCTACGTACTCCAAAATCTAATCAGATCGTCTTCCTATGGTGATTAATACTATTCCCGAGTCTTAAGTTTAAATCTTAAATGGTTCTTGAGATATTGTGATAACGGTCAAACGGGACGGACGGACGGACGTACGGACGGACGTACGGACGTACGGACGGACGGACGTACGGACGTACGGACGGACAACCCGAAAACATGATGCCTCCGGCACCACCTTCGGTGGCGGAGGCATAACAACGGTATTTGTCCACATGTTACTTCAACCAGGTTAATTTAGTTTATTCAACTTTAAAATAAACCACAACAGCAGCGGCAGCAGCAGCAATATCATCAGATGACAATAGAAACATTCACAGTAACAATTCAAGAAATGAATTTGATTTTCTTTTTACGTCTATCCAATTTCCAGTTGACTGTCCTCTTATTATCCATTATCACACAGAGAAAAGAAAGAAAAATACCTCTTTACATGACAGAATTGTTTCTGACACTGAGCTATGTTTAGACTTGTACTTGTTCAATGATGTACTATGCTAATTATTGGATGGCAACTTCCTGTTGAACTCTATGTTATAGATTGTTTCCTGTCAACTTTTGCTATTGCACCAGACTAATAAAGGGATCAATCAGCTAATACAAATTAACTTTCTGAAATCAGAGGCAAATGCTATTTCTTGTAGATTGAAACTCACTTAGGTATAATATAATTTTCTAGAAGGATCATGAAGACTACCTTGTCCCTTGAACAATTTTTCTCATAAAAAACATCAGAGGAACCTGTGCATTAAGACCGCCAGCTTATAAAGATCACTTTTCGTGTCTCAATGTATTGCACAGAAGTAATGACCTACTTACAAAATCTGAGTCGAGGATTAGTTTCTTGCTAAACCCATTTAATGCCTCCATCTAACTCTCTATCTCTCTCTCTCTCTCTCTCTCTCTCTCTCTCTCTCAACCCTCCCTTCCCATCTCTCTCTCTTCCTGAAGATGTCATTATCTTGTCTATCATACACCCGATTCTCTCAATTCCTTCATGTTTTTCTTCAATGCTGCTCTAGTAGATCCGCATCCTCTGGTTTCTGCATAGATCTTATCGTGGAGGGAGAACGAGGAAAAAACTCTCAGCTTCAAGCGATGGCACACCAAGGTGCATTTAGAAGGGATAATATTTCAGATATCTAAACCTCCCATGTCAATAACAAGAGCTTAAAATGTCCCAACAACCTGCTAATACAGGAAAGGTCAGTGCCAATCTCTGCAGCTGTACAGAGCTATACATGGAGAGACAGCTTGCCAAGTTCGCACCGGCTTAAAGATGAAGTTGAGTTCTGGTCATGCGATTGCATTGTGAAAGAAACGGTGTGGAATCGACCAGAAAAGGTTGATCATCTACAAAGTGTAGCATATAAGAATTTGTGTGTATTGCAAGGTTCTGGAATCATCAAAATGATAAGAAATTTGGTCAAGTCTTGGTAAAGTTACAAACACTGTACACAGAAAGATGTATATGGGACTACACGAACACGTGGCGTAAAAATCCTACCCTGGAGTTTTACGATGTTACATGACATATTTAGAATATGAAGGCATTTGAAGAGCCATGCTTTTCAGGGAACATGTCTTATCTGATGTTCTTCCACACTTGCATACTAAGAATGATAACGCTCACAATTTTTTTTTTCACCTCTTCCCAGAACTCAACCTTCTCTTTAACGCCTAAGAGTTTGCCTTAGCAGTGGCATGACTGAGGGGAGAGGGAATGTGTTTTGAAGAAGTTTTCCCTAAAACCCCCCACAATGGAAACAGTGGCAGTGGACAATAGCCATGCACACTCCCTCCCCTGCCACTGCCTCAGGTACCACAGGCGAGACGGAAGAAGCGCTACTTGTGCCAACAAAAGATGTTTGCAGAAGCCTCGGCTCTTTGAGGTTTAGGAAGAAAGAGATGGGTGGTATTGAGGCTGCTTAAAGCTAGACACAGTGTCCCAGGGTTCTCCTTAAGCTTTTTCATTAGACTTTCAGGAGCCAGATAGCAGATGAATTTTTCTTTTTAAAGAATACAGAAGAAAAATATAAGAAAAACTTGAACAGAATTAAGACAGAACTTCAGAGAGAGAAGGGTAACAACCTTTGTCAGAATGCAGCTAAAGTTTCTAGCTTTCATGAAACATACATGTATTTTTGTTTTGGAGCTAAAAAGAGAAGGAAGAAGAAACATTACAATTCTGTGAGAGAAGACCTCAGCCAAAATGCATTAGATGCATAATGCAGCAAAAGTCATTAAAAAGAGATAGAGAGAAAGAGAGAGAAAGAGAGAGAGAGAGATAGAGAGAGAGATAGAGAGAGAGAGAGAGAGAGAGAGAGAGAGAGAGGGGGTGGGGGAGGGGGGAGGGGTGAGAGACAGAGAGAGGGAGAAACTAAACAAAGGGACTGAGCTAATAGCTTCTTCAAGTCTAAGCCACATGAACTTAACAACCAATCCTACACCATGCCCTCAGGGGTATTTAGGATGCCAACATTAACCAACTAAAATCAGAATATACTACCACAAATAATCACCTCTCCAAATCAAGTGACGGTGGTCGCCAATTTGCGCGTTGGGGTGGCACTCGGCATGTACTCATCTTGCGTCATTGTTTTTCCGTTAGGTGAGCCTCCTCGTGGCTCAGCTCCCACGGGGCACGTGTCGCCTTCCACGGCCTACCACCACATCACGCTCCAGAACAGGAGTCCGGAAAAGCGTGAGCAAAAAAATCAATACGCCCTCATTTTGGATAGGCTCCAACGCTAATCAATGTTTTGACTCTTTAATTTCGGAGGAAACAACATGAGACTCGCCTGAAACTAGAATGGGTACTTTGGTGAAAATTGATAGTAGATAATTGACTTGCAACCTCAATTTTGTTGATGCAGGACAATTCTAAGTACATAATTTTATCCGGATGTGGAATATAGAATATCACCTGCCTGAACGAGAGATGCTCTCAAATTAGGAGTGAAAGAGGGGATATGTGGAAGCTGAGACAGGCTGAAATCAAAACCGATTTCTCGAGTTTCCATCTCGTGAAAGGGGGCAATAGCTCTGATACATTAGAAACATGCAATGTTTTCATTTCATACCAAAATACAGCATAATGTTACATGTTTTTCACTGTTTCTAACAATTCCCCCAAGCAAAATGAATCTTTTCTGAAAGATGATTGGTTGATCTTGTATTGTTTATCAAAACAGTATTTCTTGCCTCTGGGGTCTACATGCTAAAATTTCCAGACACGAAAGAATACAAGAGTTATAAACAAGAGAAGAAACTTTCCATCAATTTTGATAATACCTGGAGAGTTTGAACAACAACAAAAACTCAGGAAAAGATTTCTATCTTGATTTAAGAGGTGCAGTTTCAGTTTCATCTATTCTAATAATCTCCCTTAATGAGGCAAGAGCTGAGACATGTTGGAAAAACTTTCATAAGTTTCAAACAGAAGTATATAAAAGAAAGCAACATACATATAGAATGGGGTCAACTACCTGCATAGACAATCTGGTTTTCCGTAGCCCTTTAAAAACACCCGTCCCCAACTAGAATTCCTTATTCCCCATTTTAGATAAAGGACAAACTTAAAAACCAACATAGAAAATACAATTTTGTTTTAAGAAAAACAGGGGTCCCATAGCATACAGCATACTCTGTTGTGTGCTACTCCCATGGGTGTATCCCCAAAAAATGAAAAAAAGAAAGAGAAGAAAAAAAAATATTAAAGAAAA